TAATCTCTTTCTTTCCACAAGGTTTCTGTTACGTTACCTTTAGCATCACACAGTTGGCACCTTTCCGTCTTTCCAGATAGTCTTATACTGCGCTATGAGGTGGCATGGGACTCACAGCCTATGGCGATGGCGTGTGTGACGAGCAAGACCCGCCCGATTTAAGAAGTCTTCCACAATTATCACATGAAATTTCAGGACCATTGTTTTCAACATCTGTATTTAGTGAGTTTTTTCTCAGACGCTCATCCCTTCTACAATCATTTCTTAATATATTCTCATTCCCCACCTGATGTGCCTTCCCGACACAACATGGTCCATGGCAATACCTGTATCATTCATGTCATAAGATATTGATTAAATTACCTCTGTCGATAACTTGACCCAAGTCCAACACCAGCAAATGTTACTCGCCGTCTCCACAGCTGCGGTCGCTTGCAGTGTGGCAGAGGTTACTAGTCCAATCTATTTAACCTTGCGAACCTCCTAACACTTTCTGAAAGCAACGAGAACGTTCTTTTTTCGAAAGCACCCACCGCGGGAATCGAACCCAAGCTGTACACTTTGAGGGTTTTAGTATGAAACCGTTTCAGTAATCTTGAAGTCTGTTACAGTAGCGGTGAGAAAATAAAATGATCCTTTGAGAGGTGCCAGTACTGCTCACAGTTGCGCAACACCAGAAAGAAGTCCTGGATATGTCACTGTTGATGTGAACTCCTTGTCTAATGGCATCTGACCTTTAGTTTGTAATCATATCGTCGTCACCGTCGTCTTTAACCCTCCCCTTTCCGAGCGGCTGCCTAAACGTTTGATCGCTGCTTAGTCTAAAATATCTTCCTCTTCTTCTTCCTTTGTTCGTTCGAAATAAATGATCTTTATCTGCAATGCCGCTTAAGTATGAACTTCATTGTCTGTTGTAATTCACTTAGCGGCCTGTAAAGATTGGCTTTCATCAGTGTCTCTCTTGGCCAGACGCTGTATCTAGAAAATGTATCTGGGACAGTCTTGGAGGATGTGATCTGTTCTCTCAGATGTACAAGAATATCATCTTAGATGTTAAACCACGAGGACAAATGTCAGGTTCAACCTCCAAAGATAGGACACCCACAGTGGTCTGCTGTTCTGTGAGAACAAGCAATCCCCAACCACTTCGACGTATCGTGGTTAATAGATTAAAGCCGAGAAGCTTCAGTAGATCACTGGTGATTAAATATATGCCATCTCACAGCAGCCACTGGTCATCGGTGTCATCATCATCATCAAGTGCCCTGACAACTCGTGTGGACTATTATTCCGGATAAGTATAATATCTTAAGCTGAAAATGGGACACCCTAAGCAAATCAGTTCAACCTTTCTCTCCGGTGCTTTTTTTTTTTAAAGTTCGCTTTGCTAAAAAGTTTAATTACTGCCCCAACAATAATAATTAATATGGAAACACGAATAACTGTCTCCTTCCGGTGTTCGCGATAAATTGTTATCGAGAGCTCGTCTCACGACTGACGTTAAATCCCACCATGACCGCACCCCGAGTGATAAACAACCTGTGACACAAAGTGCCACCATTTGGATGAGGATTACCCGAGGACAGGTCATATAGAGACTGTATTTGTATAGCATGATCTCGTAGTCGACCTTTTAGAACCGCGGATTTACATAGAAGGGGCATCATTCATTATTTCCTTCCGTTAGTTTCAATAGTTACTTTCCCTAATAGTAAAAGTGATATGGCAGCAATTGTTTTACAAAAACGTTTCCTCATCTCAATAAAATTGTTCCAGTTTGCAAAAACTATTTGTGTGTGTGTGTGTGGTGCAGAACCGGCCAGTCTAACTGCATGCTCATTTCTCAAAACACTGGCATAACCTGGAGATAATATTTAGAGAATGCTAACTACCCAGAACCTTTGAGGTGATGCTTGCCACTCTGCACGGAGCATGCCTGTCTCCACCTTTCTCAACATGCTCTGTGAGTCAGTTATAATGATGTTGAGACAAGGAAGTCATAGCTTGTTAGAACGTCTCTACTCCTTGGTGTCAACGTGTCTGGAACGCAGCGCATTCACAATGTCTGCCCTGTCCAAACTTCTTCCTCCACTAAATGCTGCAGACTCATCCAAACTTTCGAGGACAAGCAAAGCATACGTTACCCATTGTGGGGAAATGAAAGAAGATATGTCCCTCAGCTCCTAATGGGTACCGTGAATATGAGACACTGAAATGGCTGCTGTATCTGAGGACGGAACACGAATCAGTCGGGCCGATGTGCTTAGATGTCGACAAGGACATTAGTTAGTTAGTTAGTTAGTTAGTTAGTTAGTTAGTTAGTTAGTTAGTTAGTTAGTTAATTAATTAGTTAGTTAGTTAGTTAGTTAGTTATTTAGTTAGTTGGGTTATCATCATTGCACTCCGGACATGTCCATAGGTGCTCAGATCCTCCCCTCAGTATGAACCCCAACGTCCGATGGCTAATAGTACCAGTTCTATGTTGATTAACAAGTCTTCTGGCGCGTCTGGTGTGCGTCTCGTTTTTTGCTATGTCGATCTTAATTCCAAAGTCTGCCATTCTGGCGAGTGATGTGGATTCACTGCCCCAAAAGTCCTCTATCCTTCCCATTTCTCTGAGGGCATTGATAATATCAGCATGATCCATAGGCTGACCGTCGGTAGTGATAGCGGATCCAGCCAACCTGTCAGCTCTTTCATTTCCATCGACGCTTGTGTGTCCCGGAACAAAAATAAAGGTGACTCCACTCACAGTGTCGACAAGGACAACAATTAACAAATGTGAATTAATTTCTCTGAAGACAAGAAACAAGCTAACGCTGACTGAGACTAAGAGTCGAAACGCCCTCAAGACGAACGATGTGAAAAGTCGGATTGAAATTTCGTTTCGCCGTTGTTACAGCATGATGGAAGTTTGTATTGAGGAACCATCTGATCTCGCGGTGACGTTTTTTTTATCCCTGCCAGCTTAACAAGTACCGTCCTGGGGCTGATACCTTTGTTAGTTCACAGATCTAGATCTCCTAAAGTGGTGCTCTTTTTTTCCCATCTTCTTGACAAATATTCAAATCGGAGTCAGTCAGTCACCCCCATCGAAGTACTTTCCCAGAAAGAAAAAAAACAGTAAACAAACAACACAACAGGTAAAAATAGTAAAATAATAGTATTTAGTTAGTTACCAAATTAATTTAATTCTAATGACCCAGTCGAATAAATCAGTGTGTTCAGTCTAACTTTACTAACTTCTTTTGATTATAATATTTTATTTTGTTCAAACTGGTCAACAAGAAAAACTGAAGTTTTTGCTTTTCTCTGGGCTTCTTTTTTATTCCTTGTATCTCTCGCTGTAAACATTGTTGTGTTGTTGTTTGCTGTTCCAATCCACATTCTCATATTAATTGTCGACTGCTTCACTTCGGAATATTTTGCACAGTCCAGTCTGAGTTTCTTGGTTGACAGTATAGTATAAATTTACAGGACTCTGAAAAAGAAGTTTTTGTAAACTGAAACAAAAGATCAGTGAATGAATGTTGAACAGTAATAGGAGTATGTAGTTCGGCTACTATCTTCCAAATAACGGTATCAAATTATCAAGGCCGAAAATATACCCTAACAGGGCCTCAGTCACATGTAAATTGCGGACTTCCGCCACCGCCGAGAGTATCTCCCACACCGCCAGCAGGCGCGGCGTGGAGTGGGATTAAACTAGATGGCTGGGACTTGCGAGCAAATAAAATGAAGGAAGCTGCAGGAGATGTGGTAGCTGCTGCTCATGAGTCCCAGCCATCTAGTTTAGCGCGTAGGGGCATGGAAGATACTCGAGGCGGTGGTGGTAGTCGCCTGAAGTGCCCAATTTAAGTCACCAGAAGTCCGCAATTTACATTTGACTGAGGCCCTGTTATGGTATATTTTCGGCCTCGATAATTTGGGACCGTTATTCGGAAGATAGCCTGAAGTTCTAACAGATTCTCTGACTGTGGTGCCACTGTTGGTTCAGGGTGCTTGTCTGTTGATGTATGACCAGGTTGGGAAGAAGCAGTCGTGACAGGGAGACTCTTGAATGTGATAGTCAGTGGTTTAAATAACAGTGTTATATACAGTTAAAAGTCAAGAGACTGCCATTCTCTTGTCAGATGGTGTTATTTTAAAATCCAAAATCATTTTTTCTTAAATTAACGCAAACTGGTAGCACAACTTTCCTCATGTCAAATCTTGCCTGGCTCTGCTGCCTGCACAATATCTCCGACTTCACATACTACATCAGGTACAGAATGTGATGCTCCTTGCAACAATGCTAGTCCCAGGCTCCTTGTTGTGGGTCCGCTCTATGGTCATGTACCCACTTGCTACCTGCTCATGCAGCATCAGCTTGTCTAGGGGTTAATGTTCTAGGTTGGCATCATGCTTCTCAACTTGTCCTCACTAAACTACTGTACAGGAACTGACAAAACTCTTCAGCATAACACAGGCTAACATTCTGCATTACTTCTGCCAACTTTATTATAGTTCATAATCATTTCTCCATTACCACAGTTTCTCAGTATACCTTTTTCTAGCAATCACAGTTAAACTATCAGACAACTCATTTACTCTATATTCAGCATCTTCACATATGAGAACTGTCTTCCTCCGCCTAAGGTTCTCAACTGGTCAAGAACCTACCTCGGATCATTTCTCATTCATCTCTCTAGCCCTGAGAATCCTGTGCCATCATCTCTCTAGCCCTGAGAGTCCTGTGCCATCATCTCTCTAGCCCTGAGAATCCTGTGCCATCATCTCTCTAGCCCTGAGAATCCTGTGCCATCATCTCTCTAGCCCTGAGAGTCCTGTGCCATCATCTCTCTAGCCCTGAGAATCCTGTGCCATCATCTCTTGCACCGGCTTTCTGCCCCCGCTTATGTTGACCGTGAGCCACCTTCAAAGCACAGTGAACAAAATACATATAACTGAAAGATGAATAAATATCTTACATTTCAGTTTCACGCTGACTAAAGAACCAGATGGAGCCAATTACATCTTCAGCGTTCTCCTCCGACCTTCAGTTTTGTCCTGTTTGTGGCTGCATTCTTCCAACACCAAGTCGAGGACAAGAAATTGTTCCCTGTGCTCGGTGCCCCTTCAAACGAAATGTAAAAGGTAACAGACAGAATAGTATTTAAACAATGTGAACACAAACAATACATTGCACACTTTATTGCCTGGCATATTTCGCTGTATTTCACACTTTTCTCATTTGGCACACTTCATCCAGACTGGACGTTTGCCTCAAGTTAATATTACTTACTCGATTTGTTTACACATACATTATAATTAGTAATCAGTTCCATAATCTGGCGCATGACTTATGTTTAGTAGTTGTCCTCATTTCCAAAGGAGAAAATGTGCAAACAATGAGAAAATGTGCAAACAATGAGAAAATGTGCAAACAATGAGAAAATGTGCAAACAATGAGAAAATGTGCAAACAATGAGAAAATGTGCAAACAATGAGAAAATGTGCAAACAATGAGAAAATGTGCAAACAATGAAAAAATGTGCAAACAATGAGAAAATGTGCAAACAATGAGAAAATGTGCAAACAATGAGAAAATAACCATTACACTCTACGGCCTGTTTCTGCAGGCAGGTCCTTGTCTCTGACCCCTTCGTCTCAAAGTCTCTAGAACACAGCGCTTTCAGTATGTCCACCCTGTAAGTCTCTAGAGTACACAGCCCTTTCAAAGTCTCTGAACACAGCGCTTTCAGTATGTCCCCTGACCCCATGTCTCCTTGTCTCTGACCCCTTCGTCTCAAAGTCTCTAGAACACAGCGCTTTCAGTATGTCCACCCTGTCCTTGTCTCTGACCCCTTCATCTCAAAGTCTCTAGAACACAGCGCTTTCAGTATGTCCACCCTGTCCTTGTCTCTGACCCCATCATCTCAAAGTCTCTAGAACACAGCGCTTTCAGTATGTCCACCCTGTCCTTGTCTCTGACCCCATCATCTCAAAGTCTCTAGAACACAGCGCTTTCAGTATGTCCACCCTGTCCTTGTCTCTGACCCCATCATCTCAAAGTCTCTAGAACACAGCGCTTTCAGTATGTCCACCCTGTCCTTGTCTCTGACCCCATCATCTCAAAGTCTCTAGAACACAGCGCTTTCAGTATGTCCACCCTGTCCTTGTCTCTGACCCCGTCATCTCAAAGTCTCTAGAACACAGCGCTTTCAGTATGTCCACCCTGTCCTTGTCTCTGACCCCGTCATCTCAAAGTCTCTAGAACACAGCGCTTTCAGTATGTCCACCCTGTCCTTGTCTCTGACCCCATCATCTCAAAGTCTCTAGAACACAGCGCTTTCAGTATGTCCACCCTGTCCTTGTCTCTGACCCCGTCATCTCAAAGTCTCTAGAACACAGCGCTTTCAGTATGTCCACCCTGTCCTTGTCTCTGACCCCATCATCTCAAAGTCTCTAGAACACAGCGCTTTCAGTATGTCCACCCTGTCCTTGTCTCTGACCCCATCATCTCAAAGTCTCTAGAACACAGCGCTTTCAGTATGTCCACCCTGTCCTTGTCTCTGACCCCATCATCTCAAAGTCTCTAGAACACAGCGCTTTCAGTATGTCCACCCTGTCCTTGTCTCTGACCCCATCATCTCAAAGTCTCTAGAACACAGCGCTTTCAGTATGTCCACCCTGTCCTTGTCTCTGACCCCATCATCTCAAAGTCTCTAGAACACAGCGCTTTCAGTATGTCCACCCTGTCCTTGTCTCTGACCCCATCATCTCAAAGTCTCTAGAACACAGCGCTTTCAGTATGTCCACCCTGTCCTTGTCTCTGACCCCATCATCTCAAAGTCTCTAGAACACAGCGCTTTCAGTATGTCCACCCTGTCCTTGTCTCTGACCCCATCATCTCAAAGTCTCTAGAACACAGCGCTTTCAGTATGTCCACCCTGTCCTTGTCTCTGACCCCATCATCTCAAAGTCTCTAGAACACAGCGCTTTCAGTATGTCCACCCTGTCCTTGTCTCTGACCCCATCATCTCAAAGTCTCTAGAACACAGCGCTTTCAGTATGTCCACCCTGTCCTTTCTGACCCCATCATCTCAAAGTCTCTAGAACACAGCGCTTTCAGTATGTCCACCCTGTCCTTGTCTCTGACCCCATCATCTCAAAGTCTCTAGAACACAGCGCTTTCAGTATGTCCACCCTGTCCTTGTCTCTGACCCCATCATCTCAAAGTCTCTAGAACACAGCGCTTTCAGTATGTCCACCCTGTCCTTGTCTCTGACCCCATCATCTCAAAGTCTCTAGAACACAGCGCTTTCAGTATGTCCACCCTGTCCTTGTCTCTGACCCCATCATCTCAAAGTCTCTAGAACACAGCGCTTTCAGTATGTCCACCCTGTCCTTGTCTCTGACCCCATCATCTCAAAGTCTCTAGAACACAGCGCTTTCAGTATGTCCACCCTGTCCTTGTCTCTGACCCCGTCATCTCAAAGTCTCTAGAACACAGCGCTTTCAGTATGTCCACCCTGTCCTTGTCTCTGACCCCGTCATCTCAAAGTCTCTAGAACACAGCGCTTTCAGTATGTCCACCCTGTCCTTGTCTCTGACCCCATCATCTCAAAGTCTCTAGAACACAGCGCTTTCAGTATGTCCACCCTGTCCTTGTCTCTGACCCCGTCATCTCAAAGTCTCTAGAACACAGCGCTTTCAGTATGTCCACCCTGTCCTTGTCTCTGACCCCATCATCTCAAAGTCTCTAGAACACAGCGCTTTCAGTATGTCCACCCTGTCCTTGTCTCTGACCCCGTCATCTCAAAGTCTCTAGAACACAGCGCTTTCAGTATGTCCACCCTGTCCTTGTCTCTGACCCCATCATCTCAAAGTCTCTAGAACACAGCGCTTTCAGTATGTCCACCCTGTCCTTGTCTCTGACCCCATCATCTCAAAGTCTCTAGAACACAGCGCTTTCAGTATGTCCACCCTGTCCTTGTCTCTGACCCCATCATCTCAAAGTCTCTAGAACACAGCGCTTTCAGTATGCCCACCCTGTCCTTGTTTCTTCCTCCAGCAACCACTGAAGACATGGCCAGTCTGTCAGCTCTTTCATTTCCTGTCACCCTGGTATGTACAGCCAGGATAGTTTCTAAGGTGGGACATCTGTATGCTGTCAACTCACTCTAGTCTTACTCTTTTCAACTCCAGCTTTCCCAATGTCACAATGTACTCCTCTGTCTGCCTTGATGCTGTCAGATACATTAAGGGTAGTTTATGTCTGTATTGTATTATTTCAAATATGGTATCTAATAGATGTTCATGGAAAAATTAAGATTTGGAACAAGACCGAAGTGCCACATCTTTCTGTCGGAGTTTACAGCCAGTGAACAGCGCATAAGATGAAGTACCTAATAATGTTTTGTTTTCATTCATCTCAGACTATAGTGATGTTGTAGAAGAGTTTGTCATTCATTTCAACTCCCCTAAGAAGAAGCACAAGCATAGATCTGCTAGTGATGATGCTGAAGGGAGCTCACAGACGGGACAAAAAACAGCATCAGAGTTCATGGGTCCAACTGTAGGTTGATGTCCTGTGAACTGTTTGTCTGTACTGTGTTGTCTTGTGGACTGTTTGTCTGTACTGTGTTGTCTTGTGGACTGTTTGTCTGTACTGTGTTGTCTTGTGGACTGTTTGTCTGTACTGTGTTGTCTTGTGGACTGTTTGTCTGTACTGTGTTGTCTTGTGGACTGTTTGTCTGTACTGTGTTGTCTTGTGGACTGTTTGTCTGTACTGTGTTGTCTTGTGGACTGTTTGTGTTTGTCTGTACTGTGTTGTCTTGTGGACTGTTTGTGTTTGTCTGTACTGTGTTGTCTTGTGGACTGTTTGTCTGTACTGTGTTGTCTTGTGGACTGTTTGTGTTTGTCTGTACTGTGTTGTCTTGTGGACTGTTTGTGTTTGTCTGTACTGTGTTGTCTTGTGGACTGTTTGTCTGTACTGTGTTGCCTTGTGTGTTTCTGTACATAAGATAAAAGATGTTATTAGTTTTTCTTTATGTGTATGTATTTGGTCTGTATCATATTTTCCGTCTTGCTGTATTCAGAGTAAAAAAGATCTATTAGAACTGTCTGTTTTTCTTGGTATTGTGTTCGCACCTATGAAAAAGGAAAATATCAAATTTCTACACAATTGTTGTATCTGGTAGGTAGGCAGTTGTACCCCACCAGGACATCACACAAGTGATAAACACCTGGTGACACAAAGTGCCACCATGCGGGTGAGGATCACCTGTGGAGAGGTCCCAGAAACCCTTTTCAGCCATTATGCCATATCTATGGCTAGAACATATTTATGCCCCGGCTATATTTAGGGGCTCTGGCAGAAGCCAGGGTGGGACTACAAATAACAAAAAATTGCGTCCCACATGGGGACGACTTTCTTAAAATGTTGTATGTGTGCACTGTGCTGGTATGTTGTATCTGTGTTGATACGTTTTATTTGTGCACTGTGCTTGTATGTTGTATCCATGCACTGTGCTTGTATGTTGTATCCATGCACTGTGCTTGTATGTTGTATCCATGCACTGTGCTTGTATGTTGTATCCATGCACTGTGCTTGTATGTTGAACCTGTGCACTGTGCTTGTATGTTGAACCTGTGTACTGTGCTGTTTTGTAGTTGTTATGAACCCAAAAAGACACTTGTATGCCAGCAAGAGTCACATTGGAAGTACAGTTTTACTAACTGCCTGGGTTTGGCAAGGTCACAGCGTGATTTCTTCATTGAAAGTGATCCGCAGACATGTAGTTATAGAGATGTTAAGGTCTTATAATACTTGGCATCGTAATCCCTCGATGGGATTGTTACTTGTCACATGATTGGTTAATGTAAGTGTTAGACCTAAGTACAAACCCTTCTTTATGTATGCTATATTGTATAGACCTAAGTACAAACCCTTCTTTATGTATGCTATATTATATAGACCTAAGTACAAACCCTTCTTTATGTATGCTATATTATATAGACCTAAGGGCAAACCCTTCTTTATGTATGCTATATTATATAGACCTAAGGACAAACCCTTCTTTATGTATGCTATATTATATAGACCTAAGGACAAACCCTTCTTTATGTATGCTATATTATATAGACCTAAGGACAAACCCTTCTTTATGTATGCTATATTATATAGACCTAAGGACAAATCCTTCTTTATGTATGCTATATTATATAGACCTAAGGACAAACCCTTCTTTATGTATGCTATATTATATAGACCTAATGTGTACATAATCTGTTTATCTTATTTTTTTTTTTAAACCAGGTGGAACGGCAGTGTCCACGATGTCAACATGACACAATGACCTACACAACTAGACAGACTCGCTCCGCTGACGAGGGTCAGACTGTTTTCTACACCTGTGTCTCTTGTAGGTAAGCACACACCTTTACTGTACAGACTCGCTCTGCTGACGAGGGTCAGACTGTCTTCTACACCTGTGTCTCTTGTAGGTAAGTACACACCTTTACTGTACAGACTCGCTCCGCTGATGAGGGTCAGACTGTCTTCTACACCTGTGTCTCTTGTAGGTAAGCACACACCTTTACTGTACAAAATCGCTCTGCTGACGAGGGTCAGACTGTTTTCTACACCTGTGTCTCTTGTAGGTAAGCACACACCTTTACTGTACAGACTCGCTCTGCTGACGAGGGTCAGACTGTTTTCTACACCTGTGTCTCTTGTAGGTAAGCACACACCTTTACTATACAGACTCGCTCTGCTGACGAGAGTCAGACTGTTTTCTACACCTGTGTCTCTTGTAGGTAAGCACACACCTTTACTGTACAGACTCGCTCTGCTGACGAGAGTCAGACTGTTTTCTACACCTGTGTCTCTTGTAGGTAAGCACACACCTTTACTGTACAGACTCGCTCTGCTGACGAGAGTCAGACTGTTTTCTACACCTGTGTCTCTTGTAGGTAAGCACACATCTTTACTGTACAGACTCGCTCCGCTGACGAGGGTCAGACTCTCTTCTACACCTGTGTCTCTTGTAGGTAAGCACACACCTTTACTGTACAGACTCGATCTGCTGACGAGGGTCAGACTGTTTTCTACACCTGTGTCTCTTGTAGGTAAGCACACACCTTTACTGTACAGACTCGCTTTGCTGACGAGGGTCAGACTGTTTTCTACACCTGTGTCTCTTGTAGGTAAGCACACACCTTTACTATACAGACTCGCTCTGCTGACGAGAGTCAGACTGTTTTCTACACCTGTGTCTCTTGTAGGTAAGCACACACCTTTACTGTACAGACTCGCTTTGCTGACGAGGGTCAGACTGTTTTCTACACCTGTGTCTCTTGTAGGTAAGCACACACCTTTACTGTACAGACTCGCTCCGCTGACGAGGGTCAGACTGTTTTCTACACCTGTGTCTCTTGTAGGTAAGTACACACCTTTACTGTACAGACTCGCTCTGCTGACGAGGGTCAGACTGTTTTCTACACCTGTGTCTCTTGTAGGTAAGCACACACCTTTACTGTACAGACTCGCTCTGCTGACGAGGGTCAGACTGTTTTCTACACCTGTGTCTCTTGTAGGTAAGTACACACCTTTACTGTACAGACTCGCTCTGCTGACGAGGGTCAGACTTTTCTACACCTGTGTCTCTTGTAGGTAAGTACACACCTTTACTGTACAGACTCGCTCCGCTGACGAGGGTCAGACTGTTTTCTACACCTGTGTCTCTTGTAGGTAAGCACACACCTTTATTGTTGTATCTCTTCAAGGTATTAAAAATGTTCTTTCAGCCCAGGAACAATGTTGCTCCTCACTATCTGTATTATTATTTCTCTACGAAATGTGTTTTTAAAGCTACTACCATGTTTAACCAAAAATAATCCCTGGTTGAGTTTGCTAGCTAGAATAAGTGACTATTTGCCAAAAGGCTAATTGGACTACAAATACCAGCTAATTGGACTACAAATACCAGCTAATTGGATTACAAATACCACTGGTGCTCACTCGATAATACACAGATAGGGTTCAGGATTTGGAGTTATGACACTGTTCCAGAAGAAGAGGACAGGACTGTATTTGAATAAAATGTAGATTTTTGTGTCTGAAAAAAACATAAGACATCCCCTGAAGGTAAAACCCTTGTGAAATCTTTAAAGCTTAAACAAACATTTCATGTAAAAAAGAGTTCCAATATAAAGATAAGAAATATTGTGGTATTTGATCTGGTGGTGGCCTGTACAGATCTGAGTCAGCATCATGTGCCCTATGTTTCTTTGCTGACCCACTGAGTGGCTCCTGTTGTGTCTTGGGCTGTAGAGTTTCATCTCTCTCTCTCTTGTATTCAAGGGCTTTTCCACTCACCTGTCTCAGTGTGAAGATAAGGTCTTGAGCAATTTGGTTTGCTCTGAAGCCGCACTGGGCCTCATCCAGCTGTGGTTCTGCCAGACTTCGAAGTCTCTGTTTGAGAATTCTAGAGTAACTTTTACCAGGAACACTGAGGAGAGATCTGCCTCTGTGGTTTTCTCATTGTCTTGTTGTCATTCTTTTTAAATATAGGTAAAGTGATAGCAATCTTTTGGTATAGTTTTGCTACACCAGGCTGCCTGGAGAACCTTCAGGAGAAGTGGCTCACCTGTGACTCCCATATATTGGACCTTCTCTAGTGTTATACCATCATGACCTGCTGCTTTTACCAGCTAAAACTTCTCAATAGCTGCCTTCAATTCTTCCATCCTGATGTTATCGTCCCCATGGATGATTTCTTTCAAGGGGAGGTCCGTTATTTCTGGGACATGTCTTTCCTCAACACTGGGTATTCTTTCTATCTGTCCATGTCTTGTATGAATTTCAGCAGCCACTCTTTCTCCTTCCTCATGTTCTTGAGGATCTTTAATACCAGTTTTTAAATTCTCTTGCATTCTGTTCCTACTTTTCTCCAGTTTATTCCCATAATTTCGTTTTGCATAAAGCACTATATTTTTGGCCTCTGTTCTAAGTGTCGCACATTGTTTTTGTTTCTCTCATTATTTAACTGTGTTCCTATCTGTCGGTTTTTTCTTCTCTGCCTTTTTCTTTTCTCCTATTTTTCACTTTAACTTCTTTCATCCACAAGTGTGTCCTGTGTCCCTTCCTTCCACTTGGGACTTCACCACATTCTTCAATCACATATTTGCATTGTACCTAGTTACATATAGTTCTATTTTACATGTTTGCTTTTCCATATTGCAGATTTCAAGATATTGAATATTCCTGAACTCCAAGCTTTGATGTCATCCTCGGCACCATTCCAGCCTCACCTGTTCCTACATCGCAACCAGCTGCTGATTACATTGAAAGGATGGCTTGAGAGAGAGAGAGTGTGTAAAGGGAACCCAGAGAACATGTATATGAGATATCAGTATTTGTTATGCATTTATTAAACATTCAATTCCAGAGGTTATGTTCTTGATTTTTTTTTTCTCTGTTAGTTAAATGATAATTGCTGATTAAATTTGTTCTTGTACATGTTTTGCCTCCAGGATAGAGGTTGGCTGTAGTGCACTTGTGCATCCAGCACTGACTGGAAATTTCACCTCCAGGATAGAGGTTGGTAGTAGTGCACTTGTGCATTCAGCGCTGACTTGAAATATCACCTCCCTGATAGAGGTTGGCTGTAATGCACTTGTGCATCCAGCACTGACTGGAAGTATAACCTCCAGGATAGAGGTTGGTAGTAGTGCACTTGTGCCTCCAGCTCTGACTTGAAATATCACCTCTCTGATAAAGGTTGGCTGTAGTGTACTTGTGCATCCAGCGCTGACTGGAATTATCACCTCACTGATAAAGGTTGGCTGTAGTGTACTTGTGCATCCAGCACTGACTGGAAATATCACCTCCCTGATAGAGGTTGGCTGTAGTGTACTTGTGCATCCAGCGCTGACTGGAATTATCACCTCACTGATAAAGGTTGGCTGTAGTGTACTTGTGCATCCAGCACTGACTGGAAATATCACCTCCCTGATAGAGGTTGGCTGTAGTGTACTTGTGCATCCAGCGCTGACTGGAAATATAACCTCCAAGATAGAAGTTGGCTGTAGTGTACTTGTGCATCCAGCGCTGACTGGGAAATATCACCTCCAGGATAGAGGTTGGCTGCAGCGCACTTGTGCATCCAGCGCTGACTAGAAATATCACCTCCCTGATAGAGGTTGGCTGTAGTGCACTTGTGCATCCAGTGCTGACTGGAAATATCACCTCACTGACAGAGGTTGGCTGTAGTGCACTTGTGCATCCAGCGCTGACTGGAAATAACACCTCCCTGATAGAGGTTGACTGTAGTGTACTTGTGCGTCCAGCACTGACTGGAAATATCACCTCACTGATAGAGGTTGGCTGTAGTGCACTTGTGCATCCACCGCTGACTGGAAATATCACCTAGTTGAGCCTGTCTTTTCCATGGCCCATCTCTGATTCCACTTTCTAGTCTTTCTGAACCCGCCATGTGATCATCTAACCCTAGTACTTGAGGATTGGCAAACACCTGTCTAATCTCTATGAGACAGTGTCACATGTTGACTGACATATTGTTTGCATGAAGCCCATGTCGCCTAAATGTTAATTCTTGATTCATTTTGACCTGTCTGGAGTAGGATTTGACATTTGTATCTGTGTCATATTGTCAAATGACAAATACCACAGATCTCGGTCTCTTGTTCTCTGGATCATTTCCACCGAGGGTATTCCCCCTGTGCCACTGTTGCAATCCAACCGACATCATTTCTCTCATTCTACCTCTGCCTTTTCTACCATTGATCTTCCCGGTGGGAAAGAGACGGAGTAGGAGAGAGTAGATGAGATATAGAGGGGTGGAAGAAAGCAAGGAAAGAGAGATGATATGCATGCATAAGACAGATATATAAATACAGAGGGAGAGGGGGGGGGGGGGGTTTAGATCACTGAGCCCATTACAAACAGAAGCCATGCCAAAAATATAATATTGACATTTGCTGATGAGGTTCTAAGATATAGGCAAGGGAATGATAGACAACGGATAGCCCAAGTGCTGCAGCAACTGTAGACAAAGTGACTGACAGGTGTGCAAAAATGGGAGATGTCATCAACTTAGAAAAGGTGGCTGTTTTGTGGTGTGCTCTGGCAATAGAATTGTAAAAGCTAACATTCCAAACCTCACATTTAATAACAGTAACATTAAAAGAGAAAGCGCTGGCTGCTGAAGATGAGGATGGAGTACACATGGGAATGCCCTGAGTGTTGTGATGTCAGTTCTTGACTCAAAAGAGAAAGCAAACTGAGGTACCTGGCTATTATTTTCAATAGAAGCCTGTACTTCAGAGATCGTGTGGAGGAAGTTACTGTGAAATGTCAAAAAGGACTCAGTGCTCTTAAGATTATGGCAGCAATGCACATGGAACAAAGAATGGTGTTCCCAATGTTCCAGCACGTGATCCTGTCGGTGACAGATTATGGACTTGGTATGACTACCATATCAAAGAGTCTGCTGATGAAACTTGAAGACATACAGAATGTAGCCATGAGGGTAATACATACTTGCACTGCCTACTATTGCAGATAGGCTCAAAGTTCTGCAAGCGGTCATATCTCAGAGTAGCTGCGGACAAGAGATACCTCCTGTATGAAGCCCTGGATAGAGCTAAGGGTCACAGACTGAAGAGAGGAAGTCTTTCTAGCTGGGTTTTGCTGACAGTGGGGAGGCCAAGACCATAGTCAATGACGCTTAACACAAGCCCTTGATAGAGAAGGAAAAGTGGGCGTTGTTTAATATCAGCTGCTGTTGGCACCTTGAGTGCTGTCAGACCTTTTCTAGCTCTAAGTAAGACATATACGTGGCATTTGTATGACTAGCATCTGTCAAATGTCATGCCCAGGTATTTTATGGTGTCCGTTCTCTCGATGTCCACACCACACATGCTTACGACTGGCGTTGATAAAAATTTGTTGTTGGTTTGGGGGAGGGGGGGGGGGGGGGGGGGGTAAAAAAATTTGACTTGTTCAGTTTGTTGGGGGGGGGGGGGGATGGGGGGCATAAGAATGTTTACATAGCTCAAATGGGGCATGGCACAAAACAGGTTGGGAAACACTGGCCTTCGGTGTCTGTAAGGCAGGCACTGTTGATGTTTCTGAAACCTAAAAGTTGAACGACTTATAAGGTCCAATAAAGGTCCAAAATTATCGAGGCCGAAAATATACTCTAACAGGGCCTCAGTCACGTGTCAATTGTGGACTTCCGCCACCGCCAAGAGTATCTCCCAAGCGTGGATTGGGGCTAAACTAAATGGCTGGGACTCACCAGCAAATAAAATGAAGGAAGCTGCAGGAGATGCGGTAGCTGCTGCTCGCGACTGCCAGCCATCTAGTTTAGCCCCAATCCATGGGAGATACTTGTGGCGGTAGTCGCAGGAAGTGCGCAATTGATACGTGACTGAGGCCCTGTTATGGTAAATTTTCGGCCTCGATAATTTGGGACCGTTATTAGGAAGATAGCCTGAAAAACAAAACGTTAATGTCGCGTACACCGGAAACAGTTTCACTTGTGGTAATTGTTTACAATATGGCGGACGAGGTAGAGGATCTGGAGAGAGTGTTTGCTCAAGCCACCCAGCAGGTCCGGTACATCGGTGCTCAGTTGGCGGCTGATAAACTACTCTACTTTTACGCCAGGTTTAAACAGGTGCTTTCTGCAAATACATTGTGTACCATATAATGTTGTTATGTTTACCGGAGGGCCCCAAACAGATTACGTTAAAAGTAAAAGGTCTGCACAGCAACGCTGCATCATGATCATCAGGGGAAACAAGAGTTCCACTGTGTACTGCTGTACTAACCAGTCCTTGTACTTTTACCACGAAAACGAATTCTGAAAATAAATGGAAAATTTAATTAATATATTCTTTCAGAATTAACTTGTTGTCATTTAAGCAATAAAAGGGAAAATAACTGATTATCGTGCCACACTGTCATTAGTATTACTATTATTAGTATTGGCATTGGCGTCGTATATATATATATATATATATATATATATATATATATATATATATATATATATATTTACTACTGATAGTGATATCGAATGGTAACAGCACCACTGTTAAACCATACACCATATCAGTTACTACTCTCTGTCTCCTTGACTGCCATTTCACAGTTATAAATTGGCCAACCTCCCTTGGACTGCCATTTCACATGTCTAGGATGACATCAGAAATTACTTTTATCGTCTAGGCCGCGAGTCTACCTCAGCTGGCTTCCCTGTGCTCTAACCACAAATACAATACAGGCTTCTCTGTGCTCTAACCACAAATACAATACAGGCTTCTCTGTGCTCTAACCACAAAGACAATACAGGCTTCTCTGTGCTCTAACCACAAATACAATACAGGCTTCTCTGTGCTCTAACCACAAATACAATACAGGCTTCTCTGTGCTCTAATCACAAAGACAATACAGGCTTCTCTGTGCTCTAACCACAAATACAATACAGGCTTCTCTGTGCTCTAACCACAAAGACAATACAGGCTTCTCTGTGCTCTAACCACAAATACAATACAGGCTTCCCTGTGCTCTCACCCTTGTGAGCCATGTGAACTGTTGACTCTCATGTTAACCAGATCTACCTCGAGTACATACCTGACATTCTCACAGCGACTGCTGCCATTTTCTACTGCTGTCTTAATATCTGTCGCTTGCTGTGTGGTTTAATTAAGAATTGACATCATAAGCGCCATGTCCCCATCTTTAGTATCAAAGCCAGTCAGTCACTTGGTCTATACTTCCCTGTTCTTGGGCAGTTTGCTGCCTATCTCTGCCCTGCCTGTACGCCAGTCACTCACTTTGTCTATAGTTCCCTGTTCTTGGGCTGTCTGCTGCCTATCGCTGCCCTGCCTGTACGCCAGTCAGTCACTTTGTCTATAGTTCCCCCTTCTTGGGCTGTCTGCTGCCTATCTCTGCCCTGCCTGTATGCCAGTCACTCACTTTGTCTATAGTTCCCTGTTCTTGGGCTGTTTGCTGCCCTGCCTGTAAGCCAGTCAGTCACTTTGTCTATAGTTCCCTGTTCTTGGGCTGTCTGCTGTCTATACGCCAGTCAGTCACTTTGTCTATAGTTCCCTGTTCTTGGGCTGTCTGCTGCCTATACGCCAGTCAGTCACTTTGTCTATAGTTCCCTGTTCTTGGGCTGTCTGCTGCCTATACGCCAGTCAGTCACTTTGTCTATAGTTCCCCATACTTGGGCTGTCTGCTGCCTATCTCTGCCCTGCCTGTACGCCAGTCACTCACTTTGTCTATAGTTCCCTGTTCTTGGGCTGTTTGCTGCCCTGCCTGTAAGCCAGTCAGTCACTTTGTCTATAGTTCCCTGTTCTTGGGCTGTCTGCTGCCTATACGCCAGTCAGTCACTTTGTCTATAGTTCCATGTTCTTGGGCTGTCTGCTGTCTATACGCCAGTCAGTCACTTTGTCTATAGTTCCCTGTTCTTGGGCTGTCTGCTGCCTATACGCCAGTCAGTCACTTTGTCTATAGTTCCCTGTTCTTGGGCTGTCTGCTGCCTATACACCAGTCAGTCACTTTGTCTATAGTTCCCTGTTCTTGGGCTGTCTGCTGCCTATACGCCAGTCAGTCACTTTGTCTATAGTTCCCCGTTCTTGGGCTGTTTGCTGCCTATCGCTGCCCTGCCTGTACGCCATGTGTTTAACAGTTGAGAATTAACATGGTGAATCTACTGCTTGCTAACTGATGATGGTCTTTGTGTTTCCATAACGTTTTCCCGATACCGTTCTTTTCAACCCAGTTTGGCATTCAATTTGGCCAAAGTACTTTAATCTTTCAAGACACTCTACTGTTTATGACAGTGCCTCTTTATATTCAGACCATATAGAATGTCAGTATTTTCCCTTGTCTTGGTCCATTCCTGTGACTTTTTGGTTCAGACGTCCTGATTTTCTTTTTTAGTGATTGCCAAACTTAATAAACTATTCACTTTCTTCTTGTCCGTGTAGGCAACTGAAGGTCCTTGTAGAACTCCAAAGCCAGGTTTCTTTGATTTTCAAGGCAAAGCCAAATGGTAAGTCATCTACAGTTTATTGTTGATTATCATCACTGGACTTCATCGATGGCCATAGAAGTTGCAACTGTCCACTGGTCGGTCCATTAGCATAGAGTGACTCATTGTTTAGTGTTTAATAATAAGCCTTCTCACATACTGACAGTAAGAAACATTCTGTCTCTGTTGATGGTAGTTAACTATTTAAACATTCTTGTCTCTGTTAATGGTAGTTAACTATTGAAAACATTCTTGTCACTGTTGATGGTAGTTAACTATTGAAAACATTCTTGTCACTGTTGATGGTAGTTAACTATTTAAAACATTCTTGTCACTGTTGATGGTAGTTAACTATTTAAAACATTCTTGTCACTGTTGATGGTAGTTAACTATTGAAAACATTCTTGTCAATGTTGATGGTAGTTAACTATTTAAAACATTCTTGTCACTGTTGATGGTAGTTAACTGTTGAAAACATTCTTGTCACTGTTGATGGTAGTTAACTATTTAAAACATTCTTGTCACTGTTGATGGTAGTTAACTATTTAAAACATTCATAAGATTTGCACAAGTAAAGATTAGGTATCAGCTGACCTCAGTTATGAAACACCCAGCTACCCCAGTTATGAAACACCCAGCTACCCCAGTTATGAAACACCCAGCTACCCCAGTAGAGACAAAAGACAAATTATAAATGCAGTCTTCATACCAACCTTCTTTTATCAGTGTCAGACTGGACATTTACTAAATAACATGAAAGAAAACTTATCACCTGTGAAATGAGATGTTTGAGAAAAGCTGTGAAATGAGATGTTTGAGAAAAGCTGTGAAATGAGATGTTTGATAAAGCATGTGAAATGAGATGTTTGAGAAAAGCTGTGAAATGAGATGTTTGAGAAAGCCTGTGAAATGAGATGTTTGAGAAAAGCTGTGAAATGAGATGTTTGAGAAAGCCTGTGAAATGAGATGTTTGAGAAAGCCTGTGAAATGAGATGTTTGAGAAAGCCTGTGAAATGAGATGTTTGAGAAAGGCTGTGAATAAAACTAGAAGAGATCACTTGAAAAACGAGAAATTACAAGAACTTTTTAAACATCACCTATAATTTAATTCATTAAAAAACAAACCCTGAAATGGTTTTGCCGTTTAATTAGATGAATCCTGGGATGCCAGCAAGAGTTAAAGCATAAAAGTAGAAACACCATGAGGCAGAGGACAACCAAGCAGGAATGGACTGAAGGACTCATTGATACCTTGAGACTTTACAACATACTAGGAAAAACTGAGCTTACCTTAGTTCAGAAACTGATCATACGTTAACTTGTGATGGCTGGCAGCAGACAGCAGAATATGGACACAAGAAGTAAAAACTATTTCATGAAGTTGTGTTTTGGTGGCTTGTCAACAAAAACATATTCTGTACAGCTGAAGAATTGTGTATAAATTGTAAATGTCTGTTCTCTACAAACAGGGAAGCATGGAGCAAACTTGGAGACATGGGCAAAGACCAGGCTATGATGGAGTACATTTCATTACTCAGCAACATTGATGATGGGTGGCTGAACAGGCTGGTAGGTCATTCTTGATTATGCTGATATGTGTTTCTTGTAACAGACCTCGGCCAGGCTAGTGGATACAAGACATGGAAGTACAGGCTATAAAAGCACATAGGGCTGGGGAATTAGCTACAGAAAGAGAGACTTCCAGGCGTGCCGTGACGAGAGCCAGGTTCTGTAAAATACCTGCTGATTGATGTTGATAAGTCATAACTGTCTGGACTCTGCTACTGTTCCATTTTTGTGTTTGCACAAATCTACTCCCATCGTATCAGATTCTTCAATATGACGACTAGTTTTGTTTAGTATACCATCATTATCATGTGGCTCACCAGATGGTGTAGACCAGTGTTTCTGAAACTTTTTAAAAAAAACCACCGCCCCCTTTTGAATGACAAAATTTCTCACTGTGTCCCCCCCCCCCCCCCCCCACCACCAATTTTTTGTTTCCCCTGGAAATATCATCATGATAAGCAAAAGTGGTCATGAATCATCATCTGACACAATCAGCAGAATCAGGATTCAGGTCAGTGCTTGTGTTCCGCCCCCATGCATGTGGCCATGTCATCAAGGTAAACTTCACATGACCGCAGAGAGGTGTAGTGTCAGTAGGAGGCCGAGTCCTGGTGCAGCACCATATGTGTGGTCCAGAACCTCTACGTCCCAGACACAGGTCACGCCTTTGGGCTGTCCACACAGTTTGACAGACAGTTGGGAATGTCATTTTGAACAGAGAACAAGGGGAAAGCATTCCTGTAAAGTTCTGATTGTGTGTAATGGTATAGTTTATGACATATTAGGTAAACAGTGTTAAGTAAACATCTAGTAAGCGTAAAACTATCCAACTACAGAAGTGTGGCACGCGGAGGAATAGCGAGTGGTCCGTGGATCATTTGAATTGTATGTCTGTGCTGGGAGCTCGGGCCTCTGCCGTGACGACCCCCATTTTGAAAATGTTGGCCGCTGAGTAAACTTAATTGAAAAGCCCTGGCGTAAATGATGTGTAACAGGCAGAGCTTCACAAATCCACATGCCAGAAAAGACTAACATGAGGTTTATTGTGACCACTGTACAGCGTGAGAATAGCTGAGTGATGTTGGGATAATGTATGAGAATTGAACGGATAATTACAAGGATGAGAGAACTAACGAATATTATGTGTTTGGGCTTGGACAGGTCGCAAGTATAGAGTGAATGTGTGTGTACCAGCAGGTTGACTCTGCTCAAGCAGCCTACAGCAAACTGTACCTGGTCATCAGATAGACCAAAAATGGCAGTGAAGCTGGTGTGGTAGGGGTGAACGGAATCAACGGATGATGGACGACGCCAACACCCTTTGTGTATGAAAGGTGTTTGTTGACAGAAGAATATACTCTTTAAGTAATGACACCAGTATTGATGTTCGAAGAAAAGAGAGCCTGTTTTCAAACTTTAGACATGTTGGCAACACTAGACAGAGTACAGTGCCCAATTGAAACAGCCAGTAAAACCTTTCAGGTTGAAAATTGTGTCTGCCAGTCTGTTGTGAACTTTGATGTGTGTTGTCACTGTTACTGTCATTTGGCATTCAATGATGCCAGTAAGCCTGTGACGCAGCTATCTCAGCTCATGGAAGCTCGCTACATTATGTATGACATTTTTTCATTTAACAGGAGTCATCAGAAGCTCATATGAATCCAGACAGACACCCCAGGCAGCAGCCTGGACAGCAAGGCATGGGTGTGTCAGTCAGTGTCATGGCAAACACAGACAGGGTGCTCACCGACGCGGAGAAGACCGTGTTTGACTGGTGCCAGGAGGGCAATGTTCCCAGAGTCACACAGTTGCTGCGTGACTCTGGGGTGGATGTCAACTGTCTGGATCAAGAGGTCAGTTACTTCTACAAGTCTTATCTCTACAGTATTGGTACCGTATGAATTGGAACTCTGCTGGCTGCTGAATATGAGGCCAGAGTACATATGGGAGTGTCCTGAATGCTGTGGTATGGGTTGTAGACTCAACTGAGCTGTACAACATTTGTGAACCATTTACATACTGGGCACACTAAAAACTACGATGAATGTCAGATGAGTACTTCTTCACGTTCACCAGCTGTCAACTCTGACAGAAAGTTCTGGTTGTTCATCCATTTCTGAACTTTTGTCTTGTTCCAGAACTTGAGTTTTTGCATGCACACCCATTTTACAGAACTAGGTTAACTATATGCAGGCTGTTGGTTCCTTGCCTTTCCGGCAGATGCACTCCAACTTAAGGCAACCCCTAAATAGTTGACTCTTAAAAAAATCCTTATTGGAGGACAGTTGGTCTATTCCCAACCCCCCCTCCATCCCCCAGTCCCCACACATGTGCATGCGGACACCCACACGGCGACCCAGGAACCCACACAAGGAAGAAAGCGTACCAAATGTTATGTTGAACCTGTTCTGCTGTAGGGCACTGAGTCTTTGAGTGTGACTACACAGATAAGGAAGAGGTTGGAAGTGTCAAAGTTGTGGCTATAACTTGGTGGTCAGCTCGACCCTGGGGATACAAGCTCATGTCCTGGGATGTCAAGGCGGCCGGCATGATGTTGACCACATTAGACACCATATGCAGACTGGTCTGTTCATCTTGAGTCTAACACCATTTGCCTGATGTGCCACTGGTGCAACAACAACAACAACAACAAAACACAGGTCCTTGACATTATTTTGACTATTAGAAAAAGATCAACAGTCTTCTGGAAGTATATGATGAGAAGTTCAGGGGGTTGGGGGTAGATGAGACAGAAGCAAGTAGAGATAATACCTCGTGGTGTGAGATGGTGGCATGGAGGAATATCATCATTATTATTTGTCCGCAAACTCAACAGGCATGTCAGATAGGTAGGAGCCAGACAGCTCTATACCAAAGTCTTTATCTGAATAGACCACAGAACCTGACTGACAAGACCAGCCTCTCCTGGAGGAGCTGTAAAGCCAACATGTGGCCACACTCAATAGGTCTGACAACTTAGCTGGGAAGCCAACATGTGGCCACACTCAATAGGTCTGACAACTAAGATGTAAAGCCAACATGTGGCCACACTCAATAGGTCTGACAACTAAGATGTAAAGCCAACATGTGGATACACTCAATAGGTCTGACAACTTAGCTGTAAAGCCAACATGTGGCCACACTCAATAGGTCTGACAACTTAGCTGTAAAGCCAACATGTGGCCACACTCAATAGGTCTGACAACTTAGCTGGGAAGCCAACATGTGGCCACACTCAATAGATCTGACAACTTAGCTGTAAAGCCAACATGTGGCCACACTCAATAGGTCTGACAACTTAGCTGTAAAGCCAACATGTGGCCACACTCAATAGATCTAACAACTAAGATGTAAAGCCAACATGTGGCCACACTCAATAGGTCTGACAACTTAGCTGTAAAGCCAACATGTGGCCACACTCAATAGGTCTGACAACTAAGATGTAAAGCCAACATGTAGCCACACTCAATAGATCTGACAACTTAGCTGGGAAGCCAACATGTGGCCACACTCAATAGGTCTGACAACTTAGCTGTAAAGCCAACATGTGGCCACACTCAATAGGTCTGACAACTTAGCTGGGAAGCCAACATGTGGCGACACTCAATAGGTCTGACAACTGGCCACACTCAATAGATCTGACAACTTAGATGTAAAGCCAACATGTGGCCACACTCAATAGGTCTGACAACTTAGATGTAAAGCCAACATGTGGCCACACTCAATAGATCTGACAACTTAGCTGTAAAGCCAACATGTGGCCACACTCAATAGATCTGACAACTTAGCTGGGAAGCCAACATGTGGCCACACTCAATAGATCTGACAACTTAGCTGGGAAGCCAACATGTGGCCACACTCAATAGATCTAACAACTAAGATGTGAAGCCAACATGTGGCCACACTCAATAGATCTAACAACTAAGATGTAAAGCCAATATGTGGCCACACTCAATAGATCTGACAACTAAGATGTAAAGCCAACATGTGGCCACACTCAGTAGATCTAACAACTAAGATGTAAAGCCAACATGTGGCCACACTCAATAGATCTAACAACTAAGATGTAAAGCCAACATGTGGCCACACTCAATAGATCTGACAACTAAGATGTAAAGCCAACATGTGGCCATACTCAATAGATCTGACAACTAAGCTGTAAAGCCAACATGTGGCCACACTCAATAGATCTGACAACTAAGCTGTAAAGCCAACATGTGGCCATACTCAATAGATCTGACAACTAAGCTGTAAAGCCAACATGTGGCCACACTCAATAGATCTGACAACTAAGATGTAAAGCCAACATGTGGCCATACTCAATAGATCTAACAACTAAGATGTAAAGCCAACATGTGGCCACACTCAATAGATCTGACAACTAAGATGTAAAGCCAACATGTGGCCACACTCAGTAGATCTAACAACTAAGATGTAAAGCCAACATGTGGCCACACTCAATAGATCTGACAACTAAGATGTAAAGCCAACATGTGGCCACACTCAATAGATCTGACAACTAAGCTGTAAAGCCAACATGTGGCCACACTCAATAGATCTGACAACTAAGATGTAAAGCCAACATGTGGCCACACTCAATAGATCTGACAACTAAGCTGTAAAGCCAACATGTGGCCACACTCAATAGATCTAACAACTAAGATGTAAAGCCAACATGTGGCCATACTCAATAGATCTGACAACTAAGATGTAAAGCCAACATGTGGCCATACTCAATAGATCTGACAACTAAGCTGGGAAGCCAACATGTGGCCATACTCAATAGATCTGACAACTAAGATGTAAAGCCAACATGTGGCCACACTCAATAGATCTGACAACTAAGATGTAAAGCCAACATGTGGCCACACTCAATAGATCTGACAACTAAGCTGTAAAGCCAACATGTGGCCACACTCAATAGATCTGACAACTAAGATGTAAAGCCAACATGTGGCCATACTCAATAGATCTGACAACTTAGCTGGGAAGCCAACATGTGGCCACACTCAATAGATCTGACAACTAAGATGTAAAGCCAACATGTGGCCACACTCAATAGATCTGACAACTAAGATGTAAAGCCAACATGTGGCCACACTCAATAGATCTGACAACTAAGATGTAAAGCCAACATGTGGCCATACTCAATAGATCTGACAACTTAGCTGGGAAGCCAACATGTGGCCACACTCAATAGATCTGACAACTAAGATGTAAAGCCAACATGTGGCCATACTCAATAGATCTGACAACTAAGATGTAAAGCCAACATGTGGCCACACTCAATAGATCTGACAACTAAGATGTAAAGCCAACATGTGGCCACACTCAATAGATCTGACAACTAAGCTGTAAAGCCAACATGTGGCCATACTCAATAGATCTGACAACTAAGCTGTAAAGCCAACATGTGGCCACACTCAATAGATCTGACAACTAAGCTGTAAAGCCAACATGTGGCCACACTCAATAGATCTGACAACTTAGCTGGGAAATGTGAGAAATCCTGAGCTGACATCCTAGTTTAGGGTCTAGTGGATTCAACGTGACCAGAGATTGCTCGGACCATGTTGAGTGGAGGGGGGCAAATCAGAAAGGGAATGGCAATGAAAAGAAACTATTGCAGAAAGGTATGAGAGTTGAGTGTCTGAGAAGAAACCCAATAAACACATATTCTTCTTCGCGTTCACCAGCTGTACACTCTAGTGGAAAGTTCTGGTTGCTCGTCCACTACTGAACTGCAGTCCTGCTCCAGAACCTGAGTGTTGCATGTGCATCAGTATTACAGATCTCATTCTCTTGAATACAGACTGTTGGTTCCTTGCCTCTCCGGCAGATGAACTCCAACTTCAAAGGAAGCTCCCCAATTAGTCGACTCTTACGACATGCTTTTGGGGAGGCAGTGGGTCTATTCTTGTTTTCTCCACAATGGGGCCTCAGAACCCACACGGGGGTAAACACATATGACGGCAACAAAGGTCCTGAAATTCGATGCTATAATTGTGGATGACTTTTCTGAACGCTGGCGGTCTTGCTAGTCTTGCGATTCCCTTGCCTCCTAATAGAACAGTATAAAACTTTTTTACGGAAAAACAGAAAGGTGCCATCAAGAGATTGCTGCAAAAGGATATGTCTCCAGGACACCAAAGGCTAAGATCTCTGGGGAGTTGTCAGCTCCTGTCCCCATCTGTCACCGTACATGATGTTGATGGTAGCATTACATAACCACATTACTCTGTGAATAAGGTGGTCAGCATAACACAAATATTTTTGATTGCTTGAGAAAATATCATCACTACCAGTTTCCACTTCTGCCGTTAAGTGTTGTGGGTAGGAACAGTTTGCAAGCCATTGCTTGATGGGCAGCAATAACTATTGTCATTTCATGTCGATGTAGAGGATCTTTAATGTCATCAGTCCATATCCTCCAAGGGCAGCCTCTTGCTTTCACATCAGATCTTTTCATGTGTAGCACCTGTGTTGGTAGTTGTTCAGGCTGCATTCTTTCCAGATGACCAAACCATTTGATCTTCTGTATCTCAGTGAGTTTGCTGCATGGCGTTGTTCCTACAGTCTGTCTAATAAGTCGTTTCTAACTTTGTCTCGGATGGTGAAATTGGTGGCTTTTCTCAGGCATGTCATTTCATAGGTGTTAATTTTACTTAGGTTAGCCTTTGATAATGTCCAAGTCTGGCACATGTAGCACCGTGTTGGTATAAATATGCTGTTTATAATCTGTTTCTTGGAACTCATACTTTTATTTGGATGTTTTAAAAATGGTGTCAGTTGGTACACAAGTGCACTGGCTTGTTGGCGTCATGTTTCTAAAAACATATTTATCTAACATAAATAGCATAAATGACAGTGACATTTACTGACAGATTATGAAAGAGCATAAATGACAGTCACATTTACTAACAGATTATGAAAGAGCATAAATGAGTCACATTTACTGACAGATTATGAAAGAGCATAAATGACAGTGACATTTACTAACAGATTATGAAAGAGCATAAATGACAGTCACATTTACTAACAGATTATGAAAGAGCATAAATGACAGTGACATTTACTAACAGATTATGAAAGAGCATAAATGACAGTGACATTTACTAACAGATTATGAAAGAGCATAAATGACAGTGACATTTACTAACAGATTATGAAAGAGCATAAATGACAGTGACATTTACTAACAGATTATAAAAGAGCATAAATGACAGTGACATTTACTAACAGATTATAAAAGAGCATAAATGACAGTGACATTTACTAACAGATTGTGAAAGAGCATAAATGACAGTCACATTTACTGACAGATTATGAAAGAGCATAAATGACAGTCACATTTACTAACAGATTATGAAAGACAGTTGGAAACATAAAACCTGTATCGACCTGTATGTTCCTGCCAGGGGTTGGGACTGCTGCACTGGGCCTGCGACCGCGGGGATGTTGAGATGACGCGGACACTGCTGAGTCTGGGAGCTGATATTAACAACCAGGTATCCGGTTCAACCTGTGCTGTTTCAGTTCACTGTATCCTCTGTAATGTGAACATCTTGTCAAATCTTCTGCAGCAAATGGTTTTTGTGCATGTGTTGTGTAATCCACAAAGTCAGCCATCCAAGTGTCATCTTCACAGTAGAGGTTGACTGCAAGAGCAGTAGTGGTCACCCCAGCCTACTAGCCTGGTGGTTGTTTGTTTAAATCCTCACAGAGGAATATTTTAGAAGATGACCCATTTTTCCAGGCTGACCCAGTCTGACGTGAGAAAAGCATCCTGCGAAGAACAGTCAGGACAGATTGTATGATACTAACTACACGCTCACCAAATACCCACTTGTCTGTAAAAATATGAACTAGCATGTCCCAAAAAAGGAACGGCATAACAATAAAACCTTGACTTCTTTTACTTTCATGATGCTTTCCCTGCCCAGCCGTCTCTTTTTCCACATTGGTTTTGTTTCACTCTATTCTTTTTTTTTTTTTAATTTTAATTTGTATTTTACCGACTTTTTCTCTCCACACTACCTTCCTTCTTTCACATCTGATTGTACAATTACTGTAATGTTCCACACCCAAAACAAATGAAATGCACAGCCACTGAAAGCACCATAATTTTGACATTCAAAATCTTTAATTTAATGAGGGAAATTGTTCAGATAGTAAACAAGAGTACCTTAGGATTCAACCAGTCAGTTGAGAGTTCTCTGGTCTCTGGGTCAACAGTATTTTTAGGCATATAGGCTAATATCAATATAATATATAATATAGGCATATCAACTAATAAAAACGTGCCATTGGATAACTAAGCGTTTTTTCTACATCCAACAATAAACAGAAAAGAATGAGGCGGATGAAGTGCCACCTGCAGACCAGGTCGAACAGGGTATGCAGACCAGGTCAAACAGGGTATGCAGACCAGGTCGAACAGGGTATGCAGACCAGGTTCGAACAGGGTATGCAGACCAGGTCAAACAGGGTATGCAGACCAGGTCAAACAGGGTATGCAGACCAGGTCAAACAGGGTATGCAGACCAGGTCAAACAGGGTATGCAGACCAGGTCGAACAGGGTATGCAGACCAGGTCGAACAGGGTATGCAGACCAGGTCGAACAGGGTATGCAGACCAGGTCAAACAGGGTATGCAGACCAGGTCGAACAGGGTATGCAGACCAGGTCGAACAGGGTATGCAGACCAGGTCAAACAGGTATGCAGACCAGGTCAAACAGGGTATGCAGACCAGGTCGAACAGGGTATGCAGACCAGGTCGAACAGGGTATGCAGACCAGGTTGAACAGGGTATGCAGACCAGGTTGAACAGGGTATGCAGACCAGGTCGAACAGGGTATGCAGACCAGGTCAAACAGGGTATGCAGACCAGGTCAAACAGGGTATGCAGACCAGGTTGAACAGGGTATGCAGACCAGGTTGAACAGGGTACTGATGTCTTTCAGGATATGTTCCCAACTACTTGGCTCCAAGGTCAGCCATGTTTACAAAATGGTCACAGGATAAATGTTTGTGGTCTGTTACTAATTGATGTTGACTTTGTTGTGGGACCATTATAACCTTTGATCATTTATTTATGTATTTTTTATTTCAGGCCAAAGATCTGCAAACAGCTTTACACTATGGTGAGTCCAGTCAAATGGGTTAGTTCTTAGTCTGTTAGTTGATTGCAAATATGTTTGAGAGGGGAATCTGTAAGCCTATGGATGTGTCCGCAGTGCTGTGAAGATAATCTAACTTATAACTCATTTAGCTGATTGTGATCTGGTGTTGATTGATTGTGATCTAGTGTTGATTGATTGTGATCTAGTGTTGGTTGATTGTGATCTAGTGTTGATTGATTGTGATCTAGTGTTGGTTGATTGTGATCTAGTGTTGGTTGATTGTGATCTAGTGTTGGTTGATTGTGATCTAGTGTTGGTTCATTGTGATCTAGTGTTGGTTCATTGTGATCTAGTGTTGGTTGATTGTGATCTAGTGTTGGTTGATTGTGATCTAGTGTTGGTTGATTGTGATCTAGTGTTGGTTGATTGTGATCTAGTGTTGATTGATTGTGATCTAGTGTTGATTGATTGTGATCTAGTGTTGATTGATTGTGATATATGAGTGTATATTAGATTGTAACCTCACATCTCTGGAGCTGTATATTAGGCTGTAACCTCACATCTCTGGAGCTGTATATTAGATTGTAACCTCACATCTCTGGAGCTGTATATTAGGCTGTAACCTCACATCTCTGGAGCTGTATATTAGATTGTAACTCCACATCTCTGGAGCTGTATATTATATTGTAACCTCACATCTCTGGAGCTGTACATTAGATTGTAACCTCACATCTCTGGAGCTGTATATTAGATTGTAACCTCACATCTCTGGAGCTGTATATTAGATTGTAACTCCACATCTATGGAGCTGTATATTAGATTGTAACCTCACATCTCTGGAGCTGTACATTAGATTGTAACCTCACATCTCTGGAGCTGTATATTAGATTGTAACTCCACATCTATGGAGCTGTATATTAGATTGTAACTCCACATCTCTGGAGCTGTATATTAGATTGTAACTCCACATCTCTGGAGCTGTATATTAGATTGTAACCTCACATCTCTGGAACTGTATATTAGATTGTAACCTCACATCTCTGGAGCTGTATATTAGGCTGTAACCTCACATCTCTGGAGCAGTATATTAGGTTGTAACATCACATCTCTGGAGCTGTATATTAGGTTGTAACTCCACATTTCTGGAGCTGTATATTAGATTGTAACTCCACATCTCTGGAGCTGTATATTAGGCTGTAACCTCACATCTCTGGAGCTGTATATTAGGCTGTAACCTCACATCTCTGGAGCTGTATATTAGATTGTAACTCCACATCTATGGAGCTGTATATTAGGTTGTAACTCCACATCTATGGAGCTGTATATTAGATTGTAACTCCACATCTATGGAGCTGTATATTAGATTGTAACTCCACATCTATGGAGCTGTATATTAGATTGTAACTCCACATCTATGGAGCTGTATATTAGATTGTAACTCCACATCTATGGAGCTGTATATTAGATTGTAACTCCACATCTCTGGAGCTGTATAATAGATTGTAACTCCACATCTCTGGAGCTGTACATTAGATTGTAACTCCACATCTCTGGAGCTGTACATTAGATTGTAACTCCACATCTATGGAGCTGTACATTAGATTGTAACCTCACATCTCTGGAGCTGTATATTAGATTGTAACCTCACATCTCTGGAGCTGTATATTAGATTGTAACTCCACATCTCTGGAGCAGTATATTAGGTTGTAACATCACATCTCTGGAGCTGTATATTAGATTGTAACCTCACATCTCTGGAGCTGTATATTAGATTGTAACTCCACATCTCTGGAGTTGTATATTAGATTGTAACCTCACATCTCTGGAGCTGTATATTAGATTGTAACCTCACATCTCTGGAGCTGTACATTAGATTGTAACCTCACATCTCTGGAGCTTTATATTAGATTGTAACCTCACATCTCTGGAGCTGTATATTAGATTGTAACCTCACATCTCTGGAGCTGTATATTAGATTGTAACCTCACATCTCTGGAGCTGTACATTAGATTGTAACCTCACATCTCTGGAGCTGTACATTAGATTGTAACCTCACATCTCTGGAGCTGTATATTAGATTGTAACCTCACATCTCTGGAGCTGTATATTAGATTGTAACCTCACATCTCTGGAGCTGTACATTAGATTGTAACATCACATCTCTGGAGCTGTATATTAGGTTGTAACTCCACATCTCTGGAGCTGTATATTAGATTGTAACTCTACATCTCTGAAGCTGTATATTAGATTGTAACTCCACATCTCTGGAGCTGTATATTAGATTGTAACCTCACATCTCTGGAGCTGTATATTAGGTTGTAACTCCACATCTCTGGAGCTGTACATTAGATTGTAACCTCACATCTCTGGAGCTGTATATTAGATTGTAACCTCACATCTCTGGAGCTGTATATTAGATTGTAACCTCACAATTCTCGAGCTGTATATTAGGCTGTAACTCCACATCTCTGGAGCAGTATATTAGGTTGTAACATCACATCTCTGGAGCTGTATATTAGGTTGTAACTCCACATCTCTGGAGCTGTATATTAGGCTGTAACCTCACATCTCTGGAGCTGTATATTAGGTTGTAACCTCACATCTCTGGAGCTGTATATTAGATTGTAACCTCACATCTCTGGAGCTGTATATTAGATTGTAACCTCACATCTCTGGAGCTGTATATTAGATTGTAACCTTACATCTCTGGAGCTTTATATTAGATTGTAACATCACATCTCTGGAGCAGTATATTAGGTTGTAACATCACATCTTTGGAGCTGTATATAAGATTGTAACCTCACATCTCTGGAGCTGTATATAAGATTGTAACCTCACATCTCTGGAGCTGTATATTAGGCTGTAACCTCACATCTCTGGAGCTGTATATTAGATTGTAACCTCACATCTCTGGAGCTGTATATTAGATTGTAACCTCACATCTCTGGAGCTTTATATTAGGTTGTAACCTCACATCTCTGGAGCTGTATATTAGATTGTAACCTCACATCTCTGGAGCTGTATATTAGATTGTAACCTCACATCTCTGGAGCTGTATATTAGATTGTAACCTCACATCTCTGGAGCTTTATATTAGGTTGTTACTCCACATCTCTGGAGCTGTATATTAGATTGTAACCTCACATCTCTGCAGCTGTATATTAGATTGTAACCTCACATCTCTGGAGCTTTATATTAGGTTGTTACTCCACATCTCTGGAGCTGTATATTAGATTGTAACCTCACATCTCTAGAGCTGTATATTAGATTGTAACCTCACATCTCTGGAGCTGTATATTAGATTGTAACCTCACATCTCTGGAGCTGTATATTATATTGTAACCTCACATCTCTGGAGCTTTATATTAGATTGTACCCTCACATCTCTGGAGCTGTATATTAGATTGTAACCTCACATCTCTGGAGCTTTATATTAGGTTGTAACCTCACATCTCTGGAGCTGTATATTATATTGTAACCTCACATCTCTGGAGCTGTATATTAGATTGTAACCTCACATCTCTGGAGCTTTATATTAGGTTGTAACCTCACATCTCTGGAGCTGTATATTAGATTGTAACCTCACATCTCTGGAGCTGTATATTAGATTGTAACCTCACATCTCTGGAGCTTTATATTAGGTTGTTACTCCACATCTCTGGAGCTGTATATTAGATTGTAACCTCACATCTCTGGAGCTGTATATTAGGTTGTAACCTCACATCTCTGGAGCTGTATATTATATTGTAACCTCACATCTCTGGAGCTTAATATTAGGTTGTTACTCCACATCTCTGGAGCTGTATATTAGGTTGTAACCTCACATCTCTGGAGCTTTATATTAGGTTGTTACTCCACATCTCTGGAGCTGTATATTATATTGTAACCTCACATCTCTGGAGCTTTATATTAGGTTGTTACTCCACATCTCTGGAGCTTTATATTAGGTTGTAACCTCACATCTCTGGAGCTGTATATTATATTGTAACCTCACATCTCTGGAGCTTTATATTAGGTTGTTACTCCACATCTCTGGAGCTGTATATTATATTGTAACCTCACATCTCTGGAGCTTTTATATTAGGTTGTTACTCCACATCTCTGGAGCTGTATATTATATTGTAACCTCACATCTCTGGAGCTTTATATTAGGTTGTTACTCCACATCTCTGGAGCTTTATATTAGGTTGTAACCTCACATCTCTGGAGCTGTATATTATATTGTAACCTCACATCTCTGGAGCTTTATATTAGGTTGTTACTCCACATCTCTGGAGCTGTATATTAGATTGTAACCTCACATCTCTGGAGCTGTATATTAGGTTGTAACCTCACATCTCTGGAGCTGTATATTAGATTGTAACCTCACATCTCTGGAGCTGTATATTAGATTGTAACCTCACATCTCTGGAGCTGTATATAAGGTTGTAACATCACATCTCTGGAGCTGTATATTATATTGTAGCCTCACATCTCTGGAGCTTTATATTAGGTTGTTACTCCACATCTCTGGAGCTGTATATTAGATTGTAACTCCACATCTATGGAGCTGTATATTAGGCTGTAACCTCACATCTCTGGAGCTGTATATTAGGTTGTAACCTCACATCTCTGGAGCTGTATATTAGATTGTAACCTCACATCTCTGGAGCTGTATATTAGATTGTAACCTCACATCTCTGGAGCTGTATATTAGATTGTAACCTCACATCTCTGGAGCTTTATATTAGGTTGTAACCTCACATCTCTGGAGCTGTATATTAGATTGTAACCTCACATCTCTGGAGCTGTATATTAGATTGTAACCTCACATCTCTGGAGCTTTATATTAGGTTGTTACTCCACATCTCTGGAGCTGTATATTAGATTGTAACCTCACATCTCTGGAGCTGTATATTAGGTTGTAACCTCACATCTCTGGAGCTGTATATTAAATTGTAACCTCACATCTCTGGAGCTTTATATTAGGTTGTTACTCCACATCTCTGGAGCTGTATATTAGGTTGTAACCTCACATCTCTGGAGCTTTGTATTAGGTTGTTACTCCACATCTCTGGAGCTGTATATTATATTGTAACCTCACATCTCTGGAGCTTTATATTAGGTTGTTACTCCACATCTCTGGAGCTTTATATTAGGTTGTAACCTCACATCTCTGGAGCTGTATATTATATTGTAACCTCACATCTCTGGAGCTTTATATTAGGTTGTTACTCCACATCTCTGGAGCTGTATATTATATTGTAACCTCACATCTCTGGAGCTTTATATTAGGTTGTTACTCCACATCTCTGGAGCTGTATATTATATTGTAACCTCACATCTCTGGAGCTTTATATTAGGTTGTTACTCCACATCTCTGGAGCTTTATATTAGGTTGTAACCTCACATCTCTGGAGCTGTATATTATATTGTAACCTCACATCTCTGGAGCTTTATATTAGGTTGTTACTCCACATCTCTGGAGCTGTATATTATATTGTAACCTCACATCTCTGGAGCTGTATATTAGATTGTAACCTCACATCTCTGGAGCTGTATATTAGGTTGTAACCTCACATCTCTGGAGCTGTATATTAGATTGTAACCTCACATCTCTGGAGCTGTATATTAGATTGTAACTCAACATCAGTTTAAAGCCGGTGAAACAAAAAAAAAAAAAAGAAATCTGACAATTGAAGTTGTCTGACTTTTGTATCAAAAGCATATTTTCTTAACAAGAATGTTAATTGTCTTTCAATTTTGTCTCCCTGACAGCTGTGTCATGTGAACATAAAGATGTGACGGAGCTGCTGGTGCAACAAGGCATCGACGTGAAGTTAAAGGACAATGAAGGCAACACAGCCATGGATATAGCTAGTGATGACATGAAACTGTTTCTCCACACCCAGCTGGCGAACATAACATAGCATTAGAATGTCAGTTAGAACTTTACTGCTTTCTAGCACAATCATTAGGTCTCTGTGTTGTGTTAAAGATAATGAGAGTCTCTGAGATGTGTTGTAATGAGAGTTTGAGATCTGATGTATGAAAGATAACAAGTGTCTGAGATTTGTTATATGAAATATAATGAGAGTCTCTGAGATGTGTTGTAATGAGAGTTTGAGATCTGATGTATGAAAGATAACAAGTGTCTGAGATTTGTTATATGAAAGATAATGAGAGTCTCTGAGATGTGTTGTAATGAGAGTTTGAGATCTGATGTATGAAAGATAACAAGTGTCTGAGATTTGTTATATGAAAGATAATGAGAGTCTCTGAGATGTTTTGTGTTAAAGATAATGAGAGTTTCTGAGATGTGATGTGTTAAAGATAATGAGAGTCTCTGAGATGTGTTGTGTTAAAGATAATGAGAGTCTCTGAGATGTGTTGTAATGAGACATGATGAGAGTTTGAGATCTGATGTATGAAGGATAACAAGTTTCTGAGATTTGTTATATGAAAGATAATGAGTCTCTGAGATGTGTTGTTTAAGAGATGATGAAAGTGTCTCTCATATGTGTTGTAGAAAGATAATGAGAGTGTCTTTGATGAGATATGAGGGCATTATCTGAGATGTGTCTTACGAGAGGCTGTTTAGTATAAATAAAATTGGAATGATTTCTGAGTTGCCTTCGTCCAAAATATTGGGACCAAATACAGGAAATGTTGCTCCCAGCTACGACCATACCTAAACCCAAAGTGTTAAATACAGATCTGATCATTTTATTGTGGGCTTTTGGCCCATGGAGAGGGTGGGGAAGGGGGCCCATGGAGAGGGTGGGGAAGGGGGCCCATGGAGAGGGTGGGGAAGGGGGCCCATGGAGAGGGTGGGGAAGGGGGCCCATGGAGAGGGTGGGGGAAGGGGGCCCATGGAGAGGGTGGGGAAGGGGCCTATGGAGAGGGTGGGGAAGGGGCCCATTGAGAGGGGGCTCATGGAGAGGGTGGGAAAGGGGCCCATGGAGAGGGTGGGGGAGAGCACATGAAGAGGGTGGGGAAGGGGTCCCATGGAGAAGGGTGCCCATGGAGAGGGTGGGGAAGGGAGCCCATGGAGAGGTTGAGGAGGGTGGGGAAGGGAGCCCATGGAGAGGTTGAGGAGGGTGGGGAAAGAGGCCCATGGAGAGAGTGGGGAAGGGACCCATGGAGAGGGTGGGGAAGGGGGCCCACAGAGAGGGTGGGGAAGGGGGCCCATGGAAAGGGTGGAGAAGGGGCCCATTGAGAGGGGACTCATGGAGAAGGTGGGAAAGGGGCCCATGGAGAGGGTGGGGAAGGGGGCCCATGGAGAGGGTGGGGGAGAGCACATGGAGAGGGTGGGGAAGGGGTCCCATGGGGAAGGGTGCCCGTGGGGAAGGGAGCCCATGGAGAGGTTGAGGAGGGTGGGGAAGGGAGCCCATGGAGAGGTTGAGGAGGGTGGGGAAAGAGGCCCATGGAGAGAGTGGGGAAGGGACCCATGGAGAGGGTGGGGAAGGGGGCCCACAGAGAGGGTGGGGAAGGGGGCCCGTGGGGAAGGGGGCCCATGGAGAGAGTGATAGTTCCACTGTCCCCCAAACAAGCATGTCATAAAAGGGAACTAACTGGTGGTGTTTCCTTCAGAGTCGGAGTCCATCTGCCTGAAAGGTGAAGGACCAACAGTCTGCACACAAGTAAGCCAGTTAGCATCAGATGGAAGAGTGTCACTGAGGTGGAAGAAATTTTAACTGTATTTGAAGGTGAAGAATATATTAAGTGGGGACAAAATATAAGTCCATTTCATGATGAAAAGTCATGGAGAAATTGGCAGAAGGCGGAAATTTAATCAAGCAATTTCCGAGGCCTTCTTGAACTGCTGCCCAACATTGACGGGACCACTAGAGATTGTAATCCCAGGATACTACGGTTTCCAACCTCCTGGTAATTAAATTTTGTCTAGTCACAAATGACACCCCCCCCCCCCCCCCATCCAAGTGTACAAACCTTGTATGCTGTGTTATGCAAGCACTGAACATATTACAATGTTTGGACATATATATATACATTAAATTACTACATTTTGTTTGCAATGATTGTATGAATTGGTGCAAACATGACATTGCCAAAGATAGGCTGTCATAACATACAGCTGAGTATTGTTGTTCTTTGGTTGCATCGTCAGTCTTTTCCTTCTGAGTGGAGCATAGGAGGGCAGCTACATTATGCTTGGTTGTTCATCCACTTCTGGACTTTTGTCTTGTCTGCAGGACTTGAATCATCATCATCATGCACATTTGTTTTACAGATCTGACTCGCCTGTATGCAGACTGTTGGTTCCTCATCTCTCAAGCAGATCAACTCCAACTTTGAAGGAAATGCCCCAAGTAAGTCACCTATGTTCTCCATATGGGTTCCGAGGCCTCATTTTCTTAGGGAGAAGACAACAGACCCACTGCCTTGCAAAAAGCATGTCAACTACTTGGGGTATTTCCTTTAAACTCCTTTATTTGTCAGTTTCTTACTCTGAATTCTGATGTATCCATTTGATGTTTGATTTATTATGGTGATACATCATGTTTTATATATTTCATATGGTAACATATCATTCTTTACCTTTAGAATCTGTTCCAGGCGGTAGTTGTAGATACTCTGGCTGGGAAAGTCATTTCAGAAAGCAGAACAAATATATCCTCCAGTCTGCACTTCTTTCTAAGAATGCCAATCAATACACGCTGATTTGTTCATTGTACTGCTTCTTCTTTCTTTGTGTTCACCAGCTGTACACTCTGGCATAAAGTTCTGGTTGTTCGTCCACTTCTGGACTGCACTCCAGAACCTGAGTGTTGCATGTGCATCAGTTTTACAGATCTGATTCAATTGAATGCAGACTGCTGGTTCCTTGCCTCTCCGGCAGATGCACCCCGACTTCAAAGGAAGCTCCCCAATTAGTCGACTCTTACGACATGCTTTTGGGGAGGCAGTGGGTCTATTCTTGTTTTCCCCCACAATAGGGCCCCGGAACCCACACGGGGAGTTCATTGTACTGCTTCGGGAACCACTGCTGGCTCAAAGCTCTTCCTACTTTGTTCACAGGATATTTTAGTTCCAGAACACAAACACAACAGAGTCCGGGTGACGCATTCCGACCTACATTTTACAATTTCAGCCTCTGAGAAACTTTTTCATAAACCTGCACCAAAAGTCAACACTGATAGTACTTACAGATCAGCTTCACTGCACATTGGCTTTTGTCCAACTCAAAATGTTTCCACAGAACAACTGGCAGCTGATGATATCATCTCATAGAGCGGTTGCTGATATCATCTCATAGAGCGGTTGCTGATATCATCTCATAGAGTGGTTGCTCATATCATCTCATAGAGTGACTGCTGATATCATCTCATAGAGTGGCTGCTGATATAATCTCATAGAGCAACTGCTGATATCATCTCATAGAGTGAATGCTGATATCATCTCATAGAGTGGCTGCTGATATCATCTCATAGAGTGGCTGCTGATATCATCTCATAGAGCAACTGCTGATATCATCTCATAGAGTGACTGCTGATATCATCTCATAGAGCGGCTGCTGATATCATCTCATAGAGCGACTGCTGATATCATCTCATAGAGCGACTGCTGATATTATCTCATAGAGCGGCTGCTGAGATAATCTCATAGAGCAGCTGTTGGTGTAATGACCTCATCGCCCAGGGGCCGCCACTGTGTCTTTAAATCTAGCAACATATGCCCGATACATCTGTAGCATAAAAAGGGTCCATCACTGTTCCCTCTCCTTCACTGATAGCTGTAGAAGGCATCACACACAGCACGATCTTCACAACGACAGCCCCAGGGATCTTTAAACAAACTGGACCTGTGAACCAAACTACAGTCCAAACTGTCGATTCACCTTGGGTGAAGAATTTTACCACACCTTGAAACTTGTTAAAAGAGGGCTCAGCTGCCTTTAACTTCACCCTTCTTGTCTGTACTTCAGAGTCTCTTTTGGCTTCCAAAACTTTAGCTTTCAACTCTATTGTTAATTTCTCTTTCTGGAGTTCTGTGTTGCTGATCAATTCTTTGTCATTTGAGGACCAAAAGAATGGTCTAACGCTTTGTCCCTGATCAGCAACTCTCTCTTTCTGCTTGAGCTGATAATTCTTGCTGTTTAAGAAGAGCTACTTGCGCCGCTAACTCTTTGTCCTTGATCAGCAACTGTACTCTCTCTTTCTGCTTGATCTGATAATTTTTGCTGTTTAAGAGCTACTTGCGCCGCTAACTCTTTGTCTTTCAACATCATCTGTCCCGCTATCTCTATCTCTCTCTTGATAGCTTCTATTTCCTTTGCCTTATTTTAGGCTTCTAGCTCGAGCTTCTTCAGTTCTCTTTCATCTGCTCAGTCTTGTCTTTCTCTGTCATGCTCCTCTTTCATCTGCTCTGTCTTGTCTTTCTCTGTCATGCTCCTCTTTCATCTGCTCAGTCTTGTCTTTCTCTGTCATGCTTCTCTTTCATCTGCTCAGTCTTGTCTTTCTCTGTCATGCTCCTCTTTCATCTGCTCAGTCTTGTCTTTCTCTGTCATGCTCCTCTTTCATCTGCTCAGTCTTGTCTTTCTCTGTCATGCTCCTCTTTCTCAAGTCTGAATACTCTTTGTCCACCCATTCCAAGTCTGTTTCACCAGTCAGCCCCTGCGGTCTAGCCATCTCAATGAAATCAGCGAGACTAGACATCTTGCAGAAGTGCACCAATTACAACAAATCAGTAATATATTACTTTCACACAAAAAATTACTCGCAGCAACTAATTATTTACTCGTAGCAACTACAGCCAAACATTAATAGTGAAAAAGTTAGTATTCGCAGAAACCCCAAAAAAATTTACAATAGTAATTTAAAAGTACAAAATAATGTCCAATAATATGACAACTCAGTAGACAAAAGAAGAATAAGAGCACCCTCAAAACAATTTGGATTCTTATAGT